ATATGTCTCTTCAAATCGTTGCAACCATTGGTGATATGTTTTCACACATGTGCATAATGTATTAGTGGTAGAGATCAACTTTACTTCTTATATAATATTATTGCCGGGAAAGGTGTGGTGGAGATCAACTTTACTTCCGGAAAGAAGTTTACTTTGAACAATGTTCTTCATATTCCTGATATTAGGAAAAATCTTGTATCCGCTAGTCTAATGTGTAAGAATTAGCTTCAGATTGTACTTGAGGACAGTAATTATATTGTATCTAAGACTGGGGTCTTTGTGAGAAATGAATATTCTACTGATGGCATTTACAAACGTAGCATTAATAATAAAGATAATATGAATTCACTTTATATTGTTGACTCTTTTGATGTTTGTCATGCACATTTAGCACACTTAAATTTTAGATCTTTGAAATATATGTCTAAACATGGTTTGATTAATTGCAAAGATGTTAAAAATGATAAGTATGAAAATTGCATACAAGCAAAGATGACTAAGAAATCCTTTCCTAAAGCTGAACGAAATACTTAAATATTGGATATGATTCATATAGATATTTGTTTGTATAATGGTATTTTGACAAGATGAGGAAAAAGATACTTTATCACTTTCATTGATGATTGTTTTAGATACACTTATATGTACTTACTTAGAACAAAAGATGAAGCCTTTGATAAATTTAAAATTTATAAGGCTGAAGTTGAGAACTAAAAAGATAAGAAGATCAAAATGGTTCGAAGTGATAGAGTTGGTGAATATTTTTCAAATGAATTTGACACATTCTATGAAGAGCATGGTATTATTCACCAAAGGTCAGCCCCTTTCACACCTCAACAAAATGGATTAGCTGAAAGAAAGAATATGAATTTTACCGATATGATTAACTTTATGCTTCTTAATGCTAAATTACCTAATAATTTATGGGGGAAAGCTTTACTTACTGCATGTCACGTTCACAATAGAATTACATCTATGAAAACACATGTCTCTCCATATGAAGTATGGAAAGGAAGAAAACTAAACTTGATGTATTTAAGGGTGTGAGGTTGTTTAGCCTTATATAGAGTGATTCACCCTAAATCATCAAAGTTAGGTGCTAAAGGAATTAAAATTATTTTCGTAGGATATGCTGAAAATTCCAAGGCATATAGATTATTAAATCTAGATTTTAATGTCATTGTGGAATCAAGAGATGTTGAATTCGTTGAGAACGAGTTTAGCTTTGATTCTTCCACTGAATTAGAATCTAATGTTGATCAACTATGTGTTGATACTCTTGGTACCTCCACTAATAAAAGGAAAGAGTCTATGACATCTTTCGAACTGAGGAGAAGTCAACGTGATAGAAAAGAAAATGACTTAGGACCGGATTTTATTTCATCTCAAGCTTTAACTATTTTTGTTAAAGGAGATAGAAATGGTATACTTAATAAAATACTATTGTTGTTTAATGTAGAAGAAGATCCAAAGACATTTAGTGAAGCTGTGTCTTCAAGGGATGTCTCTTTTTAGAGAGAGACCGCGAATGATGAACTGGATTCGATTATGTCGAATCAAACTTGGATCTTGGTTGATCTCCCTCCAGGATCAAAACCAATAAGCAACAAATGAGTGTTTAGAAGAAAGTACAACACTGATGGGTCTATACAAATATTCAAGGCTAGATTAGTAGCTAAGGGCTTTAAACAAAAACGTGGTATAGCCTACTTTGATACATATTCTCTGGTAGCTAGATTGACATCCATAAGAGTGCTATTTGTAATTGTATCTATATACAATTCGCATGTGCATCAAATGGATGTTAAGACGGCCTTTCTAAATGGTGATAGTGATGAGGAAATCTATATGGAACAACTTGAAGGGTTTGTATTGCTTGAAAATGAGAAGAAGAATTGCAAGTTAGTCAAGTCGCTTTATGGTTTAAAGCAAGCACCAAAACAATGGCATGAGAAATTTGATAATGTCATTTTATCTCATGGTTTTAAGCATAACAATGTGGATAAATGCATATACTCTAAATTTATAAATAATTTTGGTGTGATTATATGTTTATATGTTGATGACTTGCTTATCTTTGGAACAAACATGCACGGGGTAAATAGTACCAAGAAGTATCTAACTTCACAATTTAAGATGAAAGATCTTGGTGAGGTAGATAATATCTTAGGTGTAAAAGTGAATAAGCATAATGGGGGTTACTCGTTGTGTCAATCTCATTATATTGAGAAGGTTCTTCTTAAATTCAATCATTTGAAGTTTAAAGAAGCGAATACCCTATATGATTCTAGTATTAAATTACTAGAGAATGCAGGCCGAGCAGTGGCATAGCTTGAATATGCTAGTGTAATTGGTAGCTTGATGTATGCCATGCATTGTACAATACCCGACATAGCATTTGCGGTATGCAAAATGTCTATGTTCACGAGTAGCCCGAGTGTTAAACGTTGGAATGCAATTGGTAGAGTACTTGGTTATCTTAAACGAACTATTAATTTGGGTTTGTCATATAATGACTATATGTCTGTACTTGAAAGGTAATCAAATGCAAGTTGGATAACAAGTGCAAGTGATAACAAATCCACATCCGGTTGGATTTTCACAATTGCGGGAGGAGCCGTCTCTTGGGCTTCTAAGAAACAAACTTGCATAACTCATTCTACGATGGAGAGAGAGTTTATAGCACTTGCTGCTGCAGGCAAAGAAGCAGCATGGCTAAGAAATCTATTGTTTGATATTGAGTTATGGCCACAACCGATGCTATATATTTCGTTGTACTGTGATAATGAAGCTACTTTGTCTAGAGCTCATAACAAGGTTTATAATGAGAAATCTAGATATATTAACTTGAGACACGGATATGTGAAACAATTGATAACCGATAGCATTATCAATATTGTTTATGTTAGGACAAATAAGAACCTAGCGGATCCTTTGACAAAAGGTCTTTCAAGAGACTTAGTCAAAGAAACATTTAGTGGAATGAGACTGTAACCTTTCTTTGAAAGAGTCACCGATGATGGCAACCCAACTATGTAGTAGTTGTACTGCTATTTCATAGTTAAATGGGTAAAAACAAGTCATTATTTTGTGATCGGGTTAGCACCGAAATTTAATTTGTCCTTTGGGCTTCTAAGAAACAAACGTGAATAACTCATTCTACGATGGAGAGGGATTTTATAGCACTTGCTGCTGCGGGCAAAGAAGCAGAATGACTGAGAAATCTATTGTTTGATATTGAGTTGTGACCACAACCGATGCCATCTATTTCTTTGTACTGCGATAATGAAGCTACTTTGTCTAGAGCTTATAACAAGGTCTATAATGAGAAATCTAGATATATTAGGTTGAGACACGTATATGTGAAACAATTGATAACCGATAACGTTATCAATATTGTTTATGTTAGGACAAATAAGAACCTAGCGGATCCTTTGACGAAAGGTCTTTCAAGAGACTTAGTCAAAGAAATATCTAGTGAAATGAGACTGAAACCTTTCTTTGAAAGAGTCACCGATGATGGCAACCAAACTATGTAGTAGTTGTACCGCTATTTCATAGTTAAATGGGTAAAAACAAGTCATTGTTTTGTGATCGGGTTAGCACCGAAATTTAATTTGTCCTTTCCAGGATGTCTGTGCAAAAATAGCTACATGGTTGAGGTTGAGTTTATACTCTTAATGAAGTTCGAGTCTCATAGTAGCTAGAGACATAATTCAAACTTCACCTAAGTGAACATAAGGAATGGTGTCGTTCCTAACAAGATCGTGGTTTAGTCTTGTAAATGTTCATGAATATAAGATAGAGCACAAGGCCGGAATAGTGCTAAATGATTGGAACAGATTTTTAAGTCTGGGATAACACATATGCGATATATTTCTAGTATTTGCTTAAGAGACAAAGTTTAATGCAAAGCACACTGTTATCTTGTGAATACTTTAAAGTATAGTCACTAATTTGAGGTTAAAATTGAAAGATACCTACATGTATGTATGTGTTTATCGTTATTAATTCTGAAAAAATATTACAATCTAGTGGGGGATTATTAGAGAGATTATAATATGTCTCTCCAAATCGTTGCAACCATTGATAATATGTATTCACATATATATGAAAACCTATTAGCAATAGATATAACTATTGTAATAGATGTATTAATCCATGAAAAAATACATTTACATTGAGAAATGTACCTCTATGTGAAAGGCTGTGATGATTGAAAATGTTGCATTCATTCATGAAATGGTGTGATGATTGAAAGGGTTGCATTCATTCATGAAATGATACATTTGTCTTTATTAATTATCTAGAAAGTTTACATATTTAATTAATGTTCTGAAACTCAATATTATTGCTAGATATTATGTTCAAGGGTTTGTTGTATCTTGGGGGTAATTTGTCATTAAAACTCATTAGTAAACTTTGAGAAGTGAGGGCAAATAAAATTTTAAAAGAAAGTATCTCTATACGCCTCAAACCTTCTCTTATTTATGTATTCTTTTCATCATCTACACACAAATTCTTTAACATATATTGAGTTTTTCTCTAGTAAAAAGAAAAATCTAAATTAGTTGACATTCACATTGCACTGCCCATATTTGGAATTAATATCATTCCTGATTAAACCTATCCCAAAGGGTAAAAACCTGAGCTAATATTATATTCATTTCCTAAATTTCCATGACAGTTGACAACAACTAACAAAAGACAAATCAAAGACATCCTTATTGTAACATTCAGGGATAGGAAATGGCATTTTGTCGGCCTAACTTGTCCACACGCTTATCATTTATGATTCTATTCTCTCATGATGGTGGCAACCAAGAGGGGGAAACCAAAAAAAAAGGTTTTGGAAAAAAAAAAAAAAAAAAAAAAAAAAAAAGAATGCTTTATCAGGTTTCATGCTTAGCCACAATATCTATTACATGGGGCCGGTTTCGTCACATAGAATCTTCAACTATAAATAGGAGAGCCACAATAGAAACTTCGAGTGTACTAGTTCCACGTATTATTTTGCACAACATAACAAGTTGGTATTATTTCTTCTATTAAGCTCTCTCTCGTTTGGGATAGAAGAAGAAAGAAAGAAAGGGAAGACCAAGATGCCTTGTCTTTACATCTCTACAAACGTGAAATTGGATGGAGTTGAGACAGATTCCATATTTTCCGAGGCCACCAAAGCCGTCGCTACCATTATCGGAAAACCTGAAAAGGTACACTCTTCTCTCTCCAATCGCTTTCCCGGATTTCATGGCTTCCAATATGCACTTATATTTGTGGTTTTTGGTTTTGTTCATTTGCTCTTTGACTTGTTTTTCCTTGCACAACATTTTTTAGCTTCTGCTCATGTTTATGCTTCAAAAAGCTTTTTGACACGAAACAGAATCCACTTCTCTGATGAATTTAGAGGTTGAAACGCTTTGAATCCAAAATCAAAACTCTTGTTCTTTTGCGTTTATCATATTAGTCTTGAATTAGCCTTCGCATAAGTCCGAAAAATCTTTCATCAAGCAGTGGATTTTCTTCCCCATGCCCAGATACGAAGATGGCAAAAATGAGAGAACGAAAAAGAAAAAAGTCATTTTAATTCAGATTGACTAACAACGTCATTATTGCCTCTTTTTCTTTTTTCCTTTTTTTCTTTTTTTTTTTTTCTGGAAAACAATATTTCCGTATAGAAATTAGTGTTGCATTTGACACTAACTATTTTCTTATCAAACAAACAAGCTGGCCCAAGGATTATCACTTGGAGCGCACTTAATTTGAAAATGAAGGAAATAAATAAAGAAAGAAGGAAAAATGAAAGTGCGCTTATTTTAAATAAAGGAGATAAATTAAAAAACAAGGAAAATGAAAGTACACTTAATTTGATAATTGCTGGGTGGTAGTTGGCACCACTTCATGACATCAATGTTCAAGCCTTTAAAAATACCGCTTTGCTTTTATTTCTCACTTTTTTGTGTGCAAAAAACAAAAACAAAACAAAAACAAAAACAAAAAAAAAACAAAACAAAAAACAAAAGAAGTCGGTAGCACTCCAACTTTGGCCTTAAAAGCGTGAAGTTCTTGTAATATCCCCTTAAATTAATTAACATTAAATAGGGATAACAACAAAACGGAACAATGCTTAGGATTGATTTTCCATCCTCATCGGGTAGGGCCGAGTCGAGACTTTTTCGTCGGGTGAGCCTTTCGTATACCTCCATTCTCCATCAAATATATATCTATACAATTCAAAATTGTAGCAAACTTAAAACAAAAATAAAGTAGAAATTCATAGACCAAAATTAAAAATTCCATAAAACAATTAAATTCTAAATATATGTGAATCAAATCTTAGCCACAAATGATCTCATTAAAAACAATAGTTAACACATAAGCAAACAAAGTTTGAAGACATCAAAGCATAAAATAACTAAATTACTAATTGTGTTTGTATATGTAATATATATTACATACTTAGAGACGGAAGCAGATGCGCAAGCAGGATGGGGAGTGGTTTCTCCCTCACCGTACTGCCTCGAGTTGTGGATAAGATTTTTTCCTCATCCTCGCCTTGTTGGGGGGGTGGGGGGCCGTGTCTCCGTGGGATCTTCTCTCTGCAGGGAATGATGTCATTCTAATTCTAAAGTATCTGAGATCTCACTCAATCCATTCTCTCATACCAAATAATCATGGGTCCTAAGATGATTTCACTTATAATCATAAGTCCTAAAATAATTTCATCAGTACATTCTCTCACATACCAAACAATACAAGTGTTTTTGCTCTTAATCTTAATAATCATAGTCCTGTTTGTTTTTCTAGTTTAGTTCAATTCAATTCAGTTTGAACAGTAAGCACAGTTTGAATTGACGTTTGGTAAGCATGCAGTTTGAATTATGTTCCACGTTTGAACTGAGTTAAATGGCCCAACTTAAAGTTTACCTCTCCCCTCAAGTTCAATGGTTCAAACAATTTTTAAACAGTAAAAAGTGCACATTATTTTTGTTTTTCACACCTACCAAACACAAATTTAAATTTTATTATCTGCTCAAATTAAAACATTAACTACACATTCAAACTACAATTTAAACTACTAAATTTAAATTTTTCTGTTCAAATTAAAAAATTCAAATTAACAAAATTCAAATCACTGAATTAAACGAGGTTTAATCCATATATCTTTCATTATCCCTTTTTTTTTTCAACAAGACCAGCTTTCATTGTCACAACTACAAGGACATTTAAGTCGGGAAAAAAAAAAAAAAAAAAAACTGCAGGGACATTTTCAGAGTACAATAAATAAATAAATAAATAAAAACTACCGGGACATTTTTTGTTCTCTGTTAGTGATAGCACCGAAAATTAGATGAGACCATGTTTGTTCACACTTACAAGGATAGTGTAAAGAATAATTTTCAAGAATGCCATATAAAAACCACTATTTATTTCTACCATCAGATTTAAATTTATCATTTATATCATTAATATTCTAGTAGAATTTTTTTTTCTTGACAGAATATTTTTCGTATTCTATCAAAATATATTTTATATATTCTATCTTATTATTTTTTAATGGCATAAATAATTGGATAAGAAAACAATAACTAATCTTGTAATTTTCTCTAGTGAAAATAACTTGGGAGAATAGGCCCACATAACATTATCATTATGATTATCATATTAATTATTATTGTATAATTATTATTATTATTTGGAAACCAACATCCATTATTATTATTTTTTGGAAACTAACATCCATTTTAAGTATACTTACAAGGATGAATTTACATATATATGTATTTATATATATATATATACACACACACACATATATTTCGCTCTACCAATCCGATGCGGTAGAATTAAAGTTTTATTCTTTCAATTGTCACAAGGTACTATTCTTTTTAATTTCTTTACTCAATAAAATAATTTCTAAGCTCGAGCTAATATTTCCCATTGTTTTTCTCAAGTGGGGCACTTCGTTTTCGTGCACCAATTCAGTGTAGAAAGCTCTAACAAATATCATCATCACACTATTAGAGTCGAGATGAAACGCAACTATACTACTCGATTGATATTGCTACACATGACGTAATAGATGTAATAGTCAATGATAAAAAAAAAAAATATACAACTAAGTCTCTTAGTGTTACGTGTCAATTCTAAAATACTGTTACATATAGTAATATACATTATTGAGAAATTGTGTAAAAATTAATATTACTCGTTTAATTCGCGTTTTTTATCAGTTTGTGATGGTCATACTCAAGGGATCTGTTGCCATATCGTTCGGCGGGAACAATGATCCGGCGGCATATGCGGAGGTGGTGTCGATGGGCGGTATAAATTCGGCAGTGAAGAAGGAGCTCATTGTAACTCTTGGCACAATTCTGGAATCTAAGCTTTCAATTCCAAGGACTCGATTCTTTCTAAAGGTGTACGACACCACCCTCGGACGAAACAAGTCCAAGTTATAAGGAGCTTCCATCCAAAGGGGAAAAAAATAATAATAAATAACAAATAATAATTTCTGGGATTTTTTTTGACAATTTGGTCCAAGCCAAGGTTTAAGCACTGTTCCACCCAGGAAAAGACCACCCACCGCGACAGGGAAAAAAAAATAATATTTCACTTTGGCAATTTTATTTTTTCGTATGATTTATGTATGAGTTTACCTTTTTCTATTTATGTCACGCTAAAACTTTACATATATAGTTCAAAACGACATGAAACTAGTTCAACAGCTCATTGTCATTGAAACGAAAGATAGTGCTTTTTTTTTTGGTAGGTACAAAAAATGAACCATCAATAATTTTTTTTTAATTCTAATCGTTACATTTGTATTAAAAACTATCCATTCTACGTATTGTTTAAATTTAAAATAATTTAATCAAAATCTAATAATAAAAAACTACCGTAATTATTTTTTTAAGACTTACTAAATAAGTCCGAAAAATAACATGTAATGGGAAAAAGATATCAACACTAATTATCTTCTGAAAAAGGAGACTGCTAGTTGAAAAAAAAAAATACAGAAATAAATTGTGGAAACACTATTTTCGTTCCTTATAATCATATAACTTGAAAAAATACTATTGGTTATATATTTATTTTATCCATCCAACGTTGCACAGAATTATAAGGAGTAATCCCGACTTTTTTTTTTTTACCCCTGAAAATAATCTCCTTTGTACAGACTGATAATAGTTTCGTACTCAACCAATTGACTTGACGTTTAAGCAAAAAAAAAAAAAAAAAAAAAAAAAAAGACCAGACATCTTTCATTTTTTTTTTTTTCATTTGGAGGGAATGACACATTTTAAAAGTCATGTATGTGAGAGAAAAATATTATAATAAAAAAATTAAATTTAAATTTATATGAGAAAAAATACTGTAACAATATAACTTGAGTCATAATTTGAGTCATGAAATGAACAAGGCCTAAATAAGCTCAATGAGTACATAGAGGTTGTTGATGTCTTTGCTAACTCAACACCCATGTGCGACTGCGCACGTTGGTCGACCCGGTCTTGCTTAGTCGGGTCTTCTGAACGGTTGCTCTGCTTCCCGAGGTGCCGACTTGATTATCCCGCACGGGAGACAAGTGAGGCTTGGGATCAATTGGGGCACCGGTGCGGTGCCGGCCAAAGACCATATGACGCTCAAGTCAGTGTTGTGTTTGAGAGCAATAAATAAGGAGACAATGGGTAAGTGTGGAGAAATGTGCGTACCTCATAAATGAGTTTTAGGAGGTATTTATAGTTTCTTGTCGGATCCAAGTTTTACCCACTTCTCCGGAGGTCTGCCGGTATGATTGTATATGCTTGTCAGACATAGGGACATGTGTCGCGAATCGATGACTACCATACTCGACCAATCTAACGGTGAGAATTGCCCTTGTACGAATAATAGGTAGCACAATTGAATCTCCAACATTGGGAGTTCTCGGCAGGTGATGATATCTAGCACAAGATGTCCAGATGTAGAGGTTGCTGAGCATTAGGGATGGCAGAGTTTTCATGTTTAGCGACACTGTTGGTGGCGGAGTATCGGCAGTGTCTTCTCGATTGCATGCTTTCGAATAGTGCTCGACGAGCGTAGCCAAACAGACGCCCAACAGAGGCAATTATCAAAAATTAAAATCAGTACACATCGTTGCATCAATTATTGATAAGATTGTCAATAATATTCTCACAAAAAAAAAAGATCAATAATGTATCACAACAAAAATAAATAGTGCACATTTGACAAAGAAGGAAAACAAGGCCCATGTTACTATTGTTAGCCGAAATTAGATAATACAAAGAAGATCAAAATTATAGGGAAATGGAAAAACCGAAATTATACAATGCAAATAAATTCAACCTTCCTACCAAATTTGAAAACAGAATTGGAAAAATGTCGAGGCACGTGCAGCACGTTTTCCTTAAAACAGATTCGTCCCCTCCGGCGTGTGCTTGAGGTTACGTTGGACGTTCGTCTCCCAGGATACAACAACAATGACGGTAGCTCGATGCACTTTTAGAACCGTCCGGCGAACTAGAACTTTATCTTTCCTCTATCACCAAAACCAAACTACAAGAACACAATGAACTGGAAAAGAAGAAGAAGAACTCGTGGAAGAAGAACAGAATATGTTTCTGTGCAAGTGTCCCTCACCTTCATGTGAAGACGCCTTATATAGGCTCTGGAAAATAAGTTATGAAACCAGGAATTAAAGGCCCTTAATCTCCATTTTAATTGTGCATAAAACGTTTCCTGAACCCAGCCACAATACACATCCAGGTTCATGAAAAAACTGATTCAATAACCAGCCTTTATCATCACAATTAATCTCATAATTAAGCACCCCATTAAGCCTTCTCTAATCTCCATTAAGCACATCATTTGCTAAGGCCAAACGGTTAGAAGAAGCTGGAAGGGCTGAAGCAAAAATAAAAAGAACGCAAAAGTAAACTCGAACGGAGCGGGTTTTCCGGTCCGGCATTCGTGTCCGCCCCTACGCATGAGAGAGCCTCTCTAGTATACATGCTTACCTAAGTTTCAAAGTGCAATCACTTATAAACACCACATTGACTTTACTCCTAGCCAATGTGGGACTTTTGTAATTTTCTTCTACATTTACTATTCCAAGTAACATACTTAGATCATCAATTTCTCATTCACCCAAAAACCATTTTGAGTGTATGAATACTCGATTTCGATCGCCTCAGGACGGGGAACGCAAATCCATCGAGACCCGTCCCAAAACCCTATTGGGCCCCATCCGAATATGGGCCTCAAAATGGGCTTTTAAAATGGCTTAACAGGCCATTTTTCCAACAATCCCCCACATGAATGAAAAATTGACCCACGACAAGAAAAACACAAACTCGACATGGTGATAGAGTTCTGCGGTCGATGCCTGCAAATGATAGGTAGGCGTTACCCTTTGAACCTTCCCTTGTGAGAATACAAAAACTTTACTGGCTGACCAGTAGACGCGATGTCTTTGAACTGTTCTGCCTTCATGTAAACGTTATTATACTTCACACAGACATCTTCCTGACACAGTTCTGTTCTCATGGTTATGTTCGTTTCGGCCATGAACATCTACCTGGTTCTGCAAGAGTTTCTAAAGAATTGAGCCCTCACAATTCTCCTTTGAAGCGGCCTCACTTCTCTCTCACATAGGTGATTTCTTAATGAAGAGTAACCCGTATTACTCCGCTCAGATTCCTGACGTATCCGACGCATAAGAATCATTAAAAACTAATGTTTAACCCTTTTTTTTCTTGTACGGGTTTCACTGTTATCATCATAGGAATAGGCTGGGGTTACCCCCACAGTGATCTCAGCCGGTCTAGACAATTTAGTTGTCTCATTGAACCTAGATCTTGGGATCTCCAGTCAGCTAGGTTGGGTTTCCACTGCTTCAACCTATTTTTCCATGGGCTTCAATCCCATTCCTCTCGATGTCTTTTCAACTTGATCTCGGTTTAGTCCTTTAGTCAGCAGATCCGCAATATTATCTTTCGACCTTATATAGTCAACGACTATGACTCCTGTCGAGATCAATTGTCTAATGGTATTATGTCGACGACGTATATGTCTAGACTTACCATTATACATTGTATTGTGTGCCCTACCAATAGCTAATTGGCTATCACTGTGTATGCAAATTGCAGGTACAGGCTTTGGCCAATCCGGAATGTCCTCCAAGAAATGTCTAAGCCATTCAGCTTCTTCGCCACATTTATCCAAAGCAACAAACTCAGCTTCCATCGTGGATCTGGTTATTACCGTTTGCTTAGAGGATTTCCATGAAATAGATGCACCACCCAAGGTGAATACATATCCACTGGTAGCCTTAGAGTCCTGTGTATCAGATATCCAACTTGCGTCAGAGTATCCTTCTAAAACACCAGGCTCTCTTGTGAAATGCAATCCATATTTTATATCTTAAGTACCTTAGTACTCTCACAATTGCTTTCCAGTGGTCATCTCCTGGGTTACTCGTGAATCTGCTCAATCTACTTACAGTGAAGGCAATATCTGGTCTTGTACAGCTCATTAAGTACATAAGACTGCCAATCACTCTAGCATACTCCACCTGGGATATGCTTTCCCCTCTATTTTTGGACAGATGTTGACTTATATCAATAGGAGTTCTGGCTATACCAGAATCATCCTTGTTAAACCTGTCAAGTATCTTATCCACGTAATGTGACTGAGTCAATATGAGACCATCAAGCACCCTTTTGATTTTGATCCCCAAGACCACATCAGCCGGTCCCATATCTTTCATGTCAAACCTTGAGTTCAACATGTGTTTAGTAGATCTGACCATCCGATCATTACTACCTACAATTATTATGTCATCTACATACAGACAAAGCATGACATAACCATCGTCTGTTTTCTTGACATAAACACATTTGTCACACTCGTTGATTTTGAATCCATTTGACAACATAACATCGTCAAATTTCTTATGCCATTGTTTTGGTGCCTGTTTTAGTCCGTACAAAGACTTCACCAATTTACAGACTTTCTTGTCTTTTTCTGGAGCTATACAACCCTCAGGTTGTTCCATGTAGATTTCTTCTTCCAGATCTCCATTTAGAAAGGTTGTCTTCACATCCATTTGATGAACTTCAAGATTCCGCAGCGCAGCAATCGCTAATATCATCCTTATAGATGTTATTCTCGTCACAAGAGAATACGTGTCAAAGTAATCAAGGCCTTCTCGTTGTCTATAACCTTTAATTACTAGTCTGGTCTTATACTTGTCAATTGTTCCATCTGTCTTCATTTTCCATTTAAAAATCCATTTAGAACCTAGTAGTTTATTTCCTGGTGGAAGGTCTACTAGTTCCCAAGTATGATTTTGTAAGATGGAATCAATCTCACTCTTTATGGCTTCTTTCCATAAAGGACTCTCAGTTGAGCTCACGGCTTCTTTATATGTTTGAGGTTCAGCCTCTAGCATATAAGTTAGAAAATCCGGTCCGAAAGACTTTTCTATCCTTGCCCTCTTACTTCGTCTAGGCTCTTCCTTCGTTTCCACCTTTTCATCATTTTCAGAATTTTGACAACAATCTTCTATGATAGTCTCAAAGGTTCTTTTTGATGAACTTGGCTCATCTTCCTTAGTCTTACATGGAAATACATGTTCAAAGAACGATGCATTCCTAGACTCTATTATCGTGTTCTTGTGTGTGTCAGGGTTTTTAGACTCGTGCACAAGGAATCGATATGC